GAGCTCTACCAGTACTACCTGGCCCAGAACATAGGCCTGACCGGGATGAAGCTGGAGAACCCCGCCGACCCCCAGCTGATGATCAGCCCCTTCCAGCTGGACCCCGCCACCGCGGCCGCCTTGGCCCCGGGACTCGGTTAGTAGTTAACCGCTTTTCTACACTCCTGTTAGCTCTCATCACAGTCTGACTTGGCCTGACGCACCCAGATGGAGTGGTGAGTGCAGACAGTACTGGGGACAGCTTACTGGAAGGGACTTTCTCTTTAAGCTGATAATCAGACCACTTGGGCTTCACTTCAAACCTGAATTAACTCCACGGGGGAAGCCAGTCAGGGAGTCAGGGCAGCCTGGGAAGACCTAGCAAACTTTGTCTTCATTCCGCGGCTTCATTAACAAACGCGCTTGTGCGTTTTGCCTGCAGTCATTAGCTATATACCTTGCGAGGTTTATAGCTTCGATTTTGGCAGTTATTCCCTAAAATATCAAACTTGAGCTTCCAAAGGGGAGACCATTATTTTTGTAGTGAAATATTTGTAAAAACTATTTTCACGTCTGTGATTGAAGATAATTAATCTAAGGGTACCTAATGCCGTTACCTTATCGCGGGCATTTGGCCGGAGATTACAGGCACGCCTACAGCATTAGCCAGATCTCATCAAGCTTTAAGACGAATTGCGAAATAGCAATTAGTGCTTACGCAAGTTTATCTAGGCCCTTAAATCGCAAGCGAGCACGTGGCTGTTTGTTATGGTATCGATCACCTCTCTTGCCCTCGAAAATACAAATTTCAGAATGACATCATGCCCAGTAGGAGTAATTAAAGCAATCTGATGAGGGCATTTAGAAGTTGAAAGGGATGATTGTAATTGATCCCAATTCAATCCTATTACAGCTTTTTACGGTTTAAGCTCTAGAGAAAGCGCGTTCCTGGTCAAGACTTTAGTTTGCTGATTCCTTTGTGTGTGCTGTGTTTTCTAGCATCTATTTTTTCCTTTTAATTTTTTTTCTTCCTGTAGTCAATAATGAGCTGCCGCCTGAAATCCGGCTTGCCAGTGGTCAGCTAATGGGTGATGACCTGTCCCTCCTTACTGCAGGAGAGCTGTCACCTTATATCAGTGACCCAGCACTGAAGCTATTCCAGTGTGCTGTGTGCAACAAATTCACCTCTGACAGCCTGGAGGCCCTGAGCGTGCACGTGAGCAGCGAGCGCTCGCTCCCTGAAGAGGAGTGGAGGGCTGTAATTGGAGATATCTACCAGTGCAAGCTCTGTAACTACAACACTCAGCTCAAAGCCAACTTCCAGCTCCACTGCAAGACTGACAAGCACATGCAGAAGTACCAGCTGGTGGCCCACATTAAAGAAGGGGGCAAAAGCAACGAGTGGAGGCTCAAGTGCATCGCCATCGGCAACCCCGTCCACCTGAAGTGTAACGCCTGTGACTACTACACCAACAGCGTGGATAAGTTACGCTTGCACACGACCAACCACAGGCACGAGGCGGCCCTGAAGCTCTACAAGGTAAGAGTGCCATCCCCGCTCCCTTGGCACAGATGCGGGAAGGGAATGTACTGTTTCAGAGCTTGGAGCACAAATCTGCAAGTTCTGAAAGAAAACATAGAAGGGTCAGGTGCACAGTGTCTGCTGAACGTCACTACGTGTTACGCTGAAATCCAGGGAACTGGAGAATTTATCTGAAGGACTGGCCCTATGTCCCTTTTACATCTATCTCAGTGGCATTGATTGCTTCTGGTTTCCCCCAAATAAAATAACTTTTCTGAGTATTTTCATGTATAAAACAATACTTTTAGACCTCTTTTTATTGATTGATTTGGGGAAAAAAAGCATAGTATACCACTCATGGCTAAGGGTGAGTGTTCACAGGGAGCAGAGGGCAAAAGTTGTGCTACCTCCTGATATATCATCTTTTGTTTGGTGACACACCCGGTAACTCAATGTGTGCGTTTTTGCTTTTTTTTTAAGTTCCTAGTAGTATCGAGTGAACATACTATCTCTCCCTTAGCATCAGTTGAAAGTCTTAGCTCTGTTATTATTTTGCATGACTTTTCCCAGCTAGTAATGTTTTTATACCCCCAATGGGTGTGGCGGGAGTAAAAATGTTCGTTCAATGGCAGATGTACTTTTATCTTCACTGGGAGGAAAGGATGCCCATGGAACGGATATGTGTACGTGATGAACACCGTCCCTTGCACAACTTATCTTGACTTTTTCTAAACCCTGATGACTGGTTAATTTATTTTTGGCAGTTGGTTGACTGGTTTGGCTTGATTGTCTTGGTTCATGTTCACATAGAACAGATTCATTTCTTTGATGAATAACTTGGTAACTTACTGAGAACTTCTTTTGTCTAGAGGACATTAAAATTCAGAAAATATTGCAAACCATTCGTCATTGTAACAAGCTCTAAATATGATTATAAAATCCATTTTGCAAGTGTTATCTATTGATTTATACTAGAAATCAGTGATAACTATACTATGAAGAGCCGACCAGAGATTGTCACACCTATGGCTTTTCTAATACTGCTTCACACTATAAACACAGGACAGGAAGAGCAGATTGTGGTTGTCTGGAGCACGTGCAGGAATTATTTATTTGGGTTGGCCACGCACTGTTTGTTGAGGTTATTTCTGGAAGTTCAAATTCTAGATTGATGTACAGAGTGTAAAATTCTAAAGACGTGGCGGGAGAATTTGTAATGTTGTTCCTGTGATTTCTGCGCGCCGAGGATCAATAATGAAAGCATTAGATTTGGGTTACACAGTTTGAGGGGAGTTCAGGCTTTGGTGTAAGATGGAAAGCTTCTAAGTTGATGGTATTGAAAATATAATCTAACGAATTAATTGTATTATAATTCATAGGTTTTACAGCAACAGTTGACAACCGTTCAATTGTCAACTTTTTTTTTTCTGTTGGTACCTGACCTATGAAAACTTTTAGAACACCTAGGAGAAAAACAAACAAACATTAAGTTTGTATAAATAATAGATCTCAACCCTGAGAGCTGGATAGAATATTCATGAACTAGGTTTTATTCACACAGCTCCTCTGACACTTTATATTAACATGTTGTGAAAAGAAGATATAAATGTACAGATTTTTCTGTTTTACTGATCTCATGTGGGAAGCTTCAGAAAGGTAGAGTGTTACTGTTTATTTTCTCAGGAAAGGTTATTTAATCTCATTGTTTGGTGATTATTTAGACGTGTGTCTGTGTGTGTATTAAGTTTATCCATTCATTCCATGAGTGTGGATTGACGGCCCTCACTGTCTGCAGAGCAATTTGCTGGGTGCCAGAGTTAGTCTGGGAGTTCCTTTGAAGGGAGAGTTGGATATCGTCTGTGAGTGGATAACAACCCAATGAGATAAAGCCTTGTTTATAAAGAGGGTTTAAAGCAGAGAGAACCTTAGATCCCAGAACCAAAGGGTACATATGTCCTCTTACTTTAAAAATGTTATGTCATATAAAAATTTTCCCACCAATTCTTCTTTATTTGCTTATCTCTTAAATACCCCAGATTCCCTAGTAGTGTAATGTCTAAAAATGGTCAGCAAACACACTTTGAACAAACTTATCTTTAGTTAAAAGAAGATTGAATAGAGAAATACTTGAGCTGTTGCAACTGGGTATGGGGCCATTGAATTATAGTATTTTGCATTACCCCTCAAGGAGCTTTCTTTATTTCTAGTAGTAACTGTAAAAGTCCTCCAGAGTAGCAATGTGTTGAGGATGCCATTTCTAAACTGAGTTACAAAGACAGTGTGAGTCATATATAGAGAGAGGATTTTCAAGTGCGGTAATGAGGATTTTAGCAAGCTTGGTTGGCTTGTGTGAGCAAAATAAAATTGCTTCATAAGTAACATTAATTGCTTTTAAATGAGAAGCTAACAAATTGGCCGGGGCCTGGAAAAATGATGGTTTGTAATTGGCTAAAGTATTAAAATTAGACTTAAAATAGTTTCTGAGTTAATGACTAGACAATAATCTCCTACATAAAATTTATTTTCATTAAGAGCTTAATTTACATCATTTTGCATCGGGAATTATTCAGACTTTACAGGAAAGTGACAAGTAGCAGCTATAAGACAAATGCAGAGCTGTGAGAATCCAGCTTTTCTTGTTATTGACAATGTATTGATTCACAACACTTTAAACGTGGTCATATGTCAGCTCAGTTTGAATAGACTACCTCTTGCTGCATTACCTAAAAGAAGCCTGGGTTCTCATTCCAATTCTAGGGGGTTAAAGGTTAAAGGTTAAGGGTGAGCTTAAAAGCATCATCTGCCTAGCTGCTTAACTTTAAACTGATCAATTTAATGAAAATCTGTTTTACAGATGTTGTGTTAATGTATTTGGCAGGATTTAGGCAGCTTTAACATTAGACGTATGCTAGTAAAAATTATTTCTTTATTTGACCAGAACAACACCTTTCCTTTTATGTTTAAGGTAGAAAGCTTGTGGGTTATGGTATTTTGGCAAAGAACCCGGAGGCAGAATGTGTTGATGATCTTTCCATATGGACTCAAAAAAAAAAAAAAAGAATACCTTTATGTCTATTGCTAAGGATGGCTGCAGAAACAAGCAACACCGTATTCATTTTTGGGGCAACATTATTTTCCTGAGAATTTTTTTCAAAAGAAGTTTTCTTAAGAAAATCTTACTTATTTCTTTAAGCAAAATTCTCTGAAGTGCTATTTTGATTTCCCCCCGGAAATTTTCATGATGAAGCAAAATTGGTCTGGGAAATTAAAACAATAAAATGAAACGGCAGCTTGCCCTTAATCTGCTCTTAGTGTGTGAAAGTGTATTTAAAGTGAGGTTAGCCCTAAATGCAGAGAGCTGCAATCAGTGTTGCAAGGTAAAATGGGCTGCTATATAGCCATGTCCATCTAATGCAAAAACAGTGTTTCTCAGCTGACCACATTATTAGATTTTATTATATTCGTCTAATTCCATGCCTTTGCATCCTCTACAAATTCTGTCAGTTGATCCATAACGAGTCTTCAATACGCATTTGTAGGATTAATAATGAACTAATGGATAAACTGGAAAATGTTTTCAGGAAGCCCCTTTAAAATGCCTTGCAATTTGGCCTGCTCCTTATATGATCCCAAACTTTTTTGAAAGAGTCTAGGAAAAAATATATAATGAAAAGCCACTTAGCAATACACATTCAAGGTGAGAAGGAACAAATAAGACTTGGGCGACATTTCCAATTTACAGTTCCGCTGATTCTTGGCCCAGAATGGCCCAGACAGCCCCGGCCAGCTGATCGGGCCCCCACCTCCTCTGTGGGACTCCCCACACCTGCAGTGCCCCTGCTCTTGGGATAGGATGTGTCTTTCTAAGCAGGGTGCTCACAGCCTTGCTGGTTCAAAGTCAAAAGCTGAATTGGCCTCGCTTCTTTCCTTCTTGCATCTGCGAGAAGTGGAGCAGGGTAGTCTCTCTGAATTCCGTGATGCTGTTTGCATATTTGGGTTTCACACTGGCTGAGAGCAGTCGACGAATCCCTTGTCTCCATGGTGAGCAGAGACACACACGTGGGCCTGGGTCCTAGGTAACTTTCACTGTAACATTTCCCCAAGGAACATTTTTGGAGTTTTCTCATTACCCACGTTACGGATGAAAGAATCCGGGTTAAGAACTAAAATCCAGGTGTGGGGGAGGGTCACAGAAGAGACTGCAAGGAACCGCGTCGGCAAAAGTATGTGGCAAGGAAATAAAAAATGGAATAATTAGCCTCCCTTACGTTTGTTTTGTGGTTTTTGCTTTTTTTTTACTAGTAGGATCGGTTTGGAATTAACAAAGAATCACAAGGACTTTCGTCTCAATAGGCCTGAGTCCAACTTTGCAATTTAAAATCAAATACACCAGATATGTACCACTGCAATTATGGAACTGTCATTGTCCCAGTGTGATGGTGAAAGGTCAGGAGATTGTGTGGGACACATTTGCATAAAAGTCATTGTGCTGGAGGAAATTGGAATATGTGTGTGTATCTAAGAAACCAAAACAGGTTTTTCTCAATCTTACTCCAGTCATTTGTTTAGATGAAGAAAGCTGTTTTCAGAGATAAACAAAAGTTATTCTTTTCTGTTGCTAAACGTTAACCTGAATATGGAAAATTGTGCACTTTTTGTATTAGTTTCAGATTCATGTTCCTTTCAAGGTTGAAATGCAGTGTGAAATTCAATTCCAGTTGCAAGATTTATTTTAAAAAGTAATCACAATCTGAGTTATTTTATTGCACCCTCCTGTAGAAAGCCAAGGCAGAGGTTGAGGAAACGGTTTCCGCTGCCGAACAATACGTGCTTACATAATACTCAGGACAAATGAGTACACAGATCGAATACAGAGGAGCTGGTTAGCTAATAGCAACTAATAAATCACCCGTGTTCTCAGGTCGCAGTGTCATTGGCCAGCCCGATCTACTACGTCTACTTCTGTTTTTAAGCCTGACATTTGCTGATGCAAGGCCACGTGTTCGGACACGGTGACT